GATTGATACATCTTTTGAATGACACCTATTTTTTACAAATTAGAATACAATTGGATAACCAAATAATTCATATAATGTGTCTCTCACATTCTGCCAAAATCGAGCTTTGGTCGATTTTGCCTCTTCTCGTTTCTTCTCTTTGGAATTTGATTTAAGCAAAAACTCTTACTTCAATTAAGCTTTATATTATTTCTTTAAATTATTATATACTCTTGTCCTTTAATTATTTACATACCTGATTTTATTATATAAAGCTCATGTTTGTATCGCAATGCTTCGTATTGGCACATGCATTCTGTTGTTCTGCATGTGTTTCCGATATATCCAAATTTTATTATTAATACTATCCTTTTATACTTTGGTGTGTGGGATAAATATAAACCTTTGCCAGAAATGGTAAAGGGAGTTATGCTTAGAGCCTGCGATGCTTTGTTGGCCCCATATGACTTCACTCAGACGTGGGTGGAAGACATGGGAGACTTATGTTTAGTAGTCATTCAGAAATGGTAAAGGGAGTTATGCTTAGAGCCTGCGATGCTTTGTTGGCCCCATATGACTTCACTCAGACGTGGGTGGAAGACATGGGAGACTTATGTTTAGTAGTCATTCAGAAATGGATGGACCATACTATGTTATGATCCCACTTTACCTTCTATGTATTTGACATGATATCCAAAGCTTTGGTTATATATTTCTATATGCGCTTTGGATAAGAATGAAATGAATACAACATCATATGTGTTATTGAAGCTTCTATTTTATATTTGTTCTTTAATATGCTTCAAAATGATTATACGTCCTCGATATACTTTGAAATATTCTATATGTCATGGATATACTTCTTATGCTAATGATATGCTCTAATTAGCCCTTACTCTATTGTTATGAACAAAACATGCTTCGAACGATACAACATTGTAATTCTGCATTCGTCAAGTGGCTATCTTTGAACTCTTGTATCTGTGTCTGGTATTTTGAAACCTTATTTGTTCGAAATTATCCTTTTTTCCATAGATATGTTAGTCACATGTTGAGCTTTATATACTCACTCTATTGCTATATAATTTTTCAAGATAGCTTATTGCTCGTTAAAATGTTTAAATTGGGCTAAGGTAGTGGAAGACTAGAAGATTTTTGGGGAAAATCTTTTGTAGTTGAAAGGTGGTTGATATAGAAGTACATTTTGCATGTAATGAAATATTAATGACAAATCTGGGTTGATGTATCTTGTAAATGTTTGAAAAGTACCTCTTATATCAGGATTTTGGGAGTGTTAAGTTTAAATTGTGTAATGATATAAACATGTGGTACATGTTGGTTTTGTGATTGTATAGATTGTATAGATTTCCACAACTATGGATTTATGATATGGTTATTGTTTAGTTGAGTTGGCTTTGGATTTTATAAAACATTAAGTCATATGATGTATGATTATAAATTACACAGGTTTATGAATTGTGGATTATAGATGTGAATTCTAACTTAAATGTTTTCTTAGTGGCCTCAAATGTGTGTTTGGATCCTAGATTGTTTGTTGAATTATAATATTATCAATTTTGAGGGAGGTTCACACCTCCTAAATGAGAATTAAATTCATGAGGCATGACACAATGTCATTCAGATTGAGAGAGAGTTCTCTAGGAGAATCTAATTAGAGCGAGACTCGAGGAGAAACCGTATGGGCCTAACAGCACCATGCCCGATATATGGTCTCTAGGATATTAGATGGTTGATAGACTATAGGTACATGGTAACTAAGTATAGATAGGTCCAAAGGATTAGATTCCCTAGTATCGTTTGGGGACTACGACGTAGTTGCCTATTACATCCGTAGTCGACCAATCGAGTGAATTATTATGGAGATAATAATTCACTAAGCTAGAAAGAGTTCTGATAGGTATGACTCATGGCCAATTTGATATTAGGCCTAGAGGGTCATACATATATGGCAGGTGTTGTGACGAGTAGAAGTTCAGATATGAGATATCCACTAGAGCCCCCATCTTATTGGATATCCAATAAGCCCCTGAATTATTAGATCCCATGGATGAGATACAATTAGAGCTAATAAGAGATTATTGGGTAGAGACCCACTAATCTAAGAGACTTGGGTAATTGGATTGATATCTAATACGCAATAAGGTAGGATCCATTAGGGTTAACTAGGGGCCTCTATAAATAGGAGGGAACTAAAGGCCCATAGGCTAGGGTTGTCACCCCCTATTCTCCTCTCCCCTTCTCTTCCTCAAATAGTAGGCTTGGAGATTTGAGGAGTGTCATTGCAGCCCTATTGTGTGGATCACCACTAGAGATGAGGATGCTCGACCTCCTTCATCCACTCCTATAGATCTGCAGAGATTCAAGGATATACGATCTCTCTATGTAACACAACTATCTCATGCGTGGTTTTTGGTTTTGCAGATTTTGTATACCAATCTTCCCACGACGATGAACACTTTGAGAATTTTAGGATTTTTATTTTTCTGTTCTTCAACCATTCAGGTGATGTCGCCCCTAGATTTTCCTACAGTACCATCACCCAAACCACTTGGGAGGTTGAGCCTCAAGTGGTTCCACCACCTGACATAGCTCTAAGTGGCTGAATGAGCCATCCAACTGACCCAATTCAGCCATGTTTAGGGCTGAGTTGGCTCCTAATTGAGTTAGTAGGATTTCTCCCAAAACTAATTCAAATTAAAGTCTTAACTGCAATAGTTAAGGCTAAAACAATTACGATATAAGTAATTTAAGTTGTTCGGCACGTCAATTGTTCAACTGAACTCTTAGTGAACTTCTAATGAATTCCTGCCGATCTTTCGGTGTGCTTTCGGCGAACTCCCGATGAACTTTCGGTGAGCTTTTACTACATCGTCTGATCCTTCGGTGTATCCCTCGATTTATCCGGCCCGATGTTTGATCATTGACTTTGGCCCAACATTCGATTTTTCTTTAATTGTTTTACTTTTCTCATGATCATAATTAGTCCTACATCACTTATCTTAATACATGGATTAGATCATTAATTTATCAATTGATTTTATCATCAAAATTCGAGATTCAATATCAACAATAACATATTATTATCACCATAGATAGATTTCATCCAAGGAAAGGTTTAGGTCTTACTAATTGGGTATATTAGAAAAGTACATCAGAGAAAAAAAATCGCATATCAATACTATTAAGATCGTAGAGCTTATTACAAGAATTATTCACAAAAAATATGAGTCAAAGTCGATGAAGTTTAGTCACTTAATCATATAGCAAAAGATTTAAAATCCTAATTTTTTTCAATTCTCCCACCACAGATGCTATGCATGATCCTATTATTATTATTTTTATTTTTAATAATTGATATATTTAGGCTTAATGCCTCTAATCTAAGGCCAGCAAGCAAGAAAGTTTGATGAGTAACAAGCGTGTCCCCTTCCTTCCAACGGGCTGAGCTACTCAAAGCGATGTCAGAAAGAGATGGAGAACAATATGCCAGAAAGCGAAGTTTGTGCAAACAATTAAGTGTCATAAGTTTTTGGATTCCAAAATGGGTGTTTTTTAATATGAAAATTGGATGATTTTTGTATAAATTAATATGGTTTAGGATAGAGGTGTTACTCATATTCATGGGTGTAAATAAATGAAGATGGGACAATGAAAATGATGAAGTATTTTATTTTATTATAAGGGTAGAGATGGATAAAATTTTCTCACTTATCCTAGTCCTATTAATATATGAATTTAGACATTGGGTTGTAATGTTCCACTCGATTGATTCAAATCAGATTGGGTTATTATAAGATATTTGATTCAATTAAATCAAATGAAACACCTTCAATTTAAATCAATTTATATCAATTCAAATCAATTATAAATCCATTAAATCAAATGAAACAACATCAATTTGAATTTAGCCTATCACAAATCAATTATAAGATATTTGATTCAATTAAATAAAATGAAACAACATCAATATTCAATAATAACACTCTATCATTATTATTATTTATAAATTTTAATTTTTTATTAATAATTTTTTTTATTTTTAAAATTAAAATAGATTAATTAAGAGAATATTAATATCTTGTAAATTTTTCACCCGATGGGGATTTCCTATCTCTGCCCACACTCCATCTAAATGAGGAATATAATGAGAATGAATGATGGGGATGAGATGAGAACTAAGATGAAAAAATCCTATTGCCCCATTCACATCCCTAGTTTAGGATGACATGATTAGAAAATAGATATTAACTTAAATCTAATTTAGTTATGTTGTAAATCCGCATACTTAATTGATTTGGCGCATTGCGTCAAGTGTTTGAATCATACATCCGAAATAAATATTTAAAAAATTAAATTATATATAATATATTAAAAGATAAAAATTACTCTTATATGAAAATTATAAATGTGAAATACTGCAACTTTGAATTCATGAAATTTGATTACCAAAAGATAGAAATATAAACTCCATTCAGTTGACTGACAGAAAAATAGGTTGACAATTAATACCATGAGAAGATTGAAAAAAAAGTGATCATGACAGAAAACTTTTTATCTAACAATTAATATAGAATATATATATTTTTAGGATATTATGATCAAGGAAAAAAGCAGTCGAATTAATAGATCGGACCGATCAAGAGTCTGGGTTTTTGTTATGGAAACGACAGTCCGATCCAGTGCGGTTGCATGGCTCGGCCAATAACAGATCTGGTGGCTTCCCCTTAAAATTATACGCATGGCGAAACCAGAAGGCTCTCTCTCCTCCTCCGGAAATGGATGAATGGCCGCGCCTCTACGTCGCTCTCCTTTCCGCAACACACTGGACACGAAACCGCTGCGCACCTGGAGCGAGTGACGCGCGCGAAGGTAGTCGCCGGTTTGAGCGGCGTCCCCAGGAATCCGCCTGGCCACCTGCTTCCCCCCAACCCCTTCTTCCTCCCTCCTAAAAGTGCATCCACCCTCCCCTCCTCCTCGACTGGCAGTGAAGGCCTGAAGAGAGCCAAGAGTGTCTGTTTTGTGCGTAGGTTCGAGAGAGCGAAAGAGTGAGAGACAGATCAATTCTACGTCTCTCCTGCTCTTCTCCTTCCTCTTTTTGTAGACACTCGAAGTTCTCTTCTTCCGCCTCCTTCGCAACCAGTGCAATAAACAAACAGAAACCACACCAAAAAATAGAAAGAAAGGAAAGCACAAGATGGCGGGGGATGGCGGAAACGGGACCATCTCCCTGGAGCAGATCAAGAACGAGGCCGTCGACCTGGTTAGATACCTTACCAGATTCTTGCTGTTTCGTTGAATCGTGCAGTGGACGTGGTAGTCATCCGTCGTGTGTTGATTCCTTCTCTTTGTCTTCTTTGCAGGAGAGGATCCCGGTGGAGGAGGTCTTCGCGCAGCTGAAATGTACCCGGGAGGGGCTCACCGACGCCGAAGGGGAGCAGAGGCTCCAGATCTTTGGCCCCAACAAACTCGAGGAGAAACAGGTGCGTCCCCTGACCTCCGACTTCTCCACCATCGGCGGCCACCGGTCCGAAGTCTGACGCATGTATCCTTGGAACTCTCGCAGGAGAGCAAGCTCCTCAAGTTCTTGGGCTTCATGTGGAACCCGCTTTCCTGGGTCATGGAGATCGCCGCCATCATGGCCATTGTGTTGGCTAACGGAGGGGTAAAGCCATTCTGCTATCTCCTCTTTGAAATTTCACCAACTTGCGTCGCCGCATGAGGATGATGATGATGATCCACGACCGGGTTTGCCAGGGTAAGCCACCAGATTGGCAGGACTTCGTCGGAATCGTCGTCCTCCTCATCATCAACTCCACCATCAGCTTCATCGAGGAGAACAACGCTGGAAATGCCGCTGCAGCTCTCATGGCTGGCCTCGCCCCCAAGACCAAGGTCTCTTTGCATCGACGAGCTCGTTCTCGCGCCATCGGCTTGCTAATCCAAAGGGGTGGCTTGGTGCAGGTGTTGAGGGATGCGAAATGGTCCGAGCAGGAGGCGGCGATCCTCGTCCCCGGCGATATCATCAGCATCAAGCTCGGCGACATCGTCCCGGCCGACGCCCGTCTCCTCGAGGGCGATCCGCTCAAGATTGACCAGTCCGCCCTCACTGGCGAGTCCCTTCCCGTGACGAAGAACCCCGGGGACGAGGTCTTCTCGGGCTCCACCTGCAAGCAGGGAGAGATCGAGGCCATCGTCATTGCCACCGGAGTGCACACCTTCTTCGGCAAGGCGGCCCACCTCGTCGACAGCACCAACAACGTAGGCCACTTCCAGAAGGTGCTCACTGCCATCGGCAACTTCTGCATCTGCTCCATCGCCGTGGGCATGCTCATCGAGATCGTGGTCATGTACCCGATCCAGAGACGGAGGTACCGGGATGGCATCGACAACCTCCTGGTGCTGCTCATCGGCGGCATTCCAATCGCCATGCCCACCGTTCTATCGGTCACCATGGCCATCGGATCCCACCGGCTGTCGCAGCAGGGCGCGATCACCAAGAGGATGACCGCAATCGAGGAGATGGCAGGCATGGACGTGCTGTGCAGTGACAAAACTGGAACACTCACCCTCAACAAGCTCACCGTTGACAAGAGCTTGATCGAGGTGATGCTTTGCATCATCTCTTTAGACGACATTTTATCAGACCATCAACTGCTACTACTGATTGGTTTCTCTGTTGCAGGTGTACGTGAATGACTTCGACAAGGATACTGTGGTTCTGTTTGCTGCCATGGCTTCAAGGGTTGAGAACCAGGACGCCATCGATGCTGCCATTGTGGGAATGCTTGCTGATCCCAAGGAGGTGCTCAATCGTTGCAATGCTGCATCTCAGATGAAGATTTCATGCTCATGTTCGTCATCTTCGTGCTCGCAGGCGCGTGCAGGGATCCAGGAGGTCCATTTCCTGCCATTTAATCCAGTTGACAAGCGCACTGCCATCACCTACATCGACTCCAATGGCAACTGGCACAGATCGAGCAAGGGTGCACCTGAGCAGGTATATATACAGAGGACTACTCTGTTTCTTGTGATCCTGTCCTGGATTGGATACCTAATCTTCTGCTTCGCATCAGATCATTGACCTCTGCAACCTGAAAGATGATGCTAAAAAGAAGGTCCACTCCATGATCGACAAGTTCGCCGATCGTGGCCTTCGCGCTCTGGGCGTGGCGAGGCAGGAGGTTCCCGAGGCAAGCAAAGAGAGCGCCGGCGGTCCATGGCAGTTCATAGGTCTCTTGCCACTCTTCGACCCTCCGAGGCATGACAGTGCGGAGACCATCCGTCGTGCCCTCGACCTCGGTGTCAACGTCAAGATGATCACCGGCGACCAGCTCGCCATTGGGAAGGAAACCGGGCGCAGGCTGGGCATGGGAACCAACATGTACCCGTCCTCCACCCTCCTTGGGGAGAAGAACGATGACGTCGGTGGCCTCCCCATTGACGAGCTCATCGAGAAGGCTGATGGATTCGCCGGAGTCTTCCCTGGTCTCTTCGCCTGCCCGTCGTCACTCTCCGTATGAATCTGAGAACCAAGCTGACTCTTTGTGCTGTTGCTTTCTCTGTTGCAGAGCACAAGTACGAGATCGTGAAGAGGTTGCAGGAGAGGAAGCACATCTGCGGCATGACAGGAGACGGCGTCAACGACGCACCTGCTCTGAAGAAGGCTGACATCGGCATCGCGGTGGCGGACGCGACGGATGCCGCCCGGAGTGCTTCGGACATCGTGCTGACGGAGCCGGGGCTCAGCGTGATCGTCAGCGCGGTTCTGACGAGCCGCGCCATCTTCCAGCGGATGAAGAACTACACCATCTACGCCGTCTCCATCACCATCCGAATCGTGCTCGGCTTCTTACTCATCGCCCTCATCTGGCGCTTCGACTTCTCGCCCTTCATGGTCCTCATCATCGCCATCCTCAACGATGGCACCATCATGACCATCTCCAAGGACAGGGTGAAGCCCTCCCCCTTGCCCGACTCATGGAAGCTGCGTGAGATCTTCGCCACCGGAGTCGTTCTCGGAGCCTACCTCGCCATAATGACCGTCGTCTTCTTCTACCTGGTCCATGACACAGACGTCTTCCCTGTGAGTAGCAGAACACCGCTATCGCCAGTGCATCAATCACACAATGTTCTGAGGCAGCTGAATCCATCGCTATTCTCTTTCGAAACAGGAGATCTTTGGTGTGAGGGAGATCAAGGACAGCAACGACGAGTTGACGGCAGCTCTCTACCTCCAAGTGAGCATTATCAGTCAGGCGCTCATCTTCGTCACCAGGTCGAGGGGCTGGTCCTTCGTCGAACGCCCCGGCGTTCTGCTAGTCGTCGCCTTCATCGCCGCCCAGCTGGTAATCTCGTCTCTTCGACTTTTCTTGTGATCCAATGATCACGAGGACCAGACCACACACCAGCGGCGTGATTCCTTCTCACCGTAGGTTGCGACGGCCATCGCGGCGCATGCGTCGTGGGGCTTCGCTAGGATCCAGGGCATCGGATGGGGATGGGCAGGGATCATCTGGCTCTTCAGCTTGATCACCTACTTCCCTCTAGACATCCTCAAGTTCATCACCCGCTATGCTCTGAGCGGCAAGGCCTGGGACAACCTTCTCCAGAACAAGGTAAGCACGGTCTTCCATCTATTATCTTCACCGATCTTTCCCAGCATTGGAGCGAGGTGACGATCATGCCATGGTGCAGACGGCATTCACCTCGAAGAAGGATTACGGGAGGGGCGAGAGGGAGGCTCAGTGGGCGCTGGCGCAGCGCACGCTGCATGGCCTCCAGACAGCAGACACCTCCGTCCTCTTCAACGACAAGAGCAGCTACAGGGAGTTGTCGGAGGTCGCGGAGCAGGCGAAGCGGCGCGCCGAAGTTGCCCGGTAATCCACCAAGCAAGCCTACACCATTAAATGACATATGAATGATGCCAATGAATGGAGCTAATTGTTTTTGTTGCAGGCTGAGGGAACTCCACACGCTCAAAGGGCACGTCGAGTCTGTTGTGAAGCTGAAGGGACTGGACATTGAGACGATCCAACAGCACTACACTGTGTAATGGAAGGAAAAGACGAAGACAAATGTGGACCATGGGGATGGCCTTCTTCGTGGTGTACTGTGTGTGTGTTGTGTGAATGTGGCAAGCCTGGTGTTGAGAGAGAGAGTATAACATAGAATGGACGGGGGATATGGTGATTGACGTAATGTGATGCCTTTTACTTTCCTTCTCCTTCGATATTTCAGGCTTGTTCTTTTTGGTATTATATATTTTTATTTCTCCAAAATAATGAAAGGAAAATTTTGCCCTTCTTGTAACATTTACTTCTCGGTTTGCGGGTGCTCGTTCTTCTCTTCAATACTCAATTTCTTCGTCGGTACTGCAGCTTAATCATTAACATACAAAAAACCACAAACAACGTGATTAAGACTAATAAATAAAAATGAACGTTCAAAAAAGAAAGGATGATTTTCTCATAAATAACTTATGATAAGTAGATAGATTTCTCTAACTATTTGAGGAAATCTCTCTACTCTGTTGAGGGAAATCTTCTAACGAGAAAAATTCTCCTTTCTAACTTGTATATATATAAAGAAGGGGGATATGTTAATAACAAACTATGGTATCAGAGCAATTCCTCCTTGGCGACAGTAGTATCGCCGTGTGTTAGCCAAGCGGCCACAGTAACACGCTGCCTCAAACTCATTGAAGAAGTACCAAGACATGGATTTAGAGTCGGTGCTAACGAGCACCGTCTTGGCTCTGCTCATCCACTCCTTCTCTTCCTTCATCGCCGATCTTGCTTTTCTTTGCTGACCTTGCTCCCTCTCCTATTTGCTGCCTACAACAAACACTCTCCGTCGCCATCACGCAAGGAGGAAAACATTTTCTCACTGCCTCCTCAATAGCGGCGAACGGCAAACAGCAGTGTCTTCCTCCCGGCCAGCAGCAGTCGCAACTGCTGCATCTTCCTCTACCGTAGCAGCTTTCGCTGCTGCTTCCCTCTACACAACGGCGCCTCCTCAACGGTAGTGTCTTCCTCCTCAATAGCAACGAACGACGAACTGACACGGACTTAGCTGGTTTTGCCTAAGTCGTGCGGCACCCTTGCGTGTCCGTCTGCAAAGGTCAGCCTCCCCGAAGCCTCCCATTGTCCCTTAGGACCACCAAAAGAGAGAACGGGTTAGAGAGAACGCCTCAATCGGGATCCACAAGCAAACATCTCCGAAAAACACTTCATCGACAATGCAAATTACAAACAGACTTTACAAGCTCTGAACAGTGGCACAACAAAGGGTAAAATGGTCCATTACAGACCGAGAATCTCTCGCACGTGTCCACATGACACAACCTTTATTTACAAGCCTAAAGAGGCCATCAACCCAACTAAAATGGGACTATTAAGCCTTCGGCCGTCCCTTTACATTCTGTACAAGGCATGAACATGCCAAAAGACACGGACATACATAAGCATTACATCAAACACCTTGTTTAGAAGTTTGTCCGTGACATTCTCCCCCACTTATTCCTTCGACGTCCTCGTTGATTCCTGCGGATCCACCAAATGAAGGAAAAGACCATCCTTACTGCGCCAGTTTCTCAAAATTTCCACATGCTGCTTGAACTGGGTGGATGCTTGTTGGAGCTTTAACGAGCATCGCCTCGTAAACTTATGAAGTTTTGGTTCCTTCCTCCACAAAATCTGCTCATTGACTATTCTTTCAGTTAGTTGTCGCATCCAAGTAGGTTCGCATCACTTCCGCTTTCGATTGACATTTCGTTGGGAAATGAAGCGGACAATCTACTCTCAGTAGCACTGATCACCGTTGGTGAGGATTTGACAACTATTGTCTTCCATTATCTTCGAAGGGTCTTTGAACTTGTGCAGAGCTCCTCTGCTGGATAGATAAGAGAATTGGAGTACTCGGTTTCGCCCATCCTCTTAAGAGTTGAGAAGGCAAAGGTTACTTGACTTCGCCCGCCTCCTCGAGATTGTACTTCATGCATCGAGCTGGTTACTAGTATTCGCCTGCTCTTTGCTCACACTTCTGAAGCACTTGAAGTGTTTGCACTCCTTGCATTGAGTTAGCTACTGTGATTCACCTTCTCAATGCCATCGAACTTCTGGAATGCGGGAAGTTTTCACCCCAACTTGGAGTAATTCTCTGATAGATGAGGTCGCCTCTGGGATTGTACCGTCTTCTCCATCAACCCTGCCGCCTACTCCACTGAGTAGCAAAGGTACAACACCGCGTACTGCCTGCTTCGTTCCTTGGTTATGCACTCTTGCATGACCCGAAGTCCTTCACTTTCGGCTATCTTGATGAGAAACTTGTTGACACCGGTCTTACGAAGTTTCTTGGCCTCTGCCCTTCAGCCTTGTCTCGGTAATTGGAGATTGCCTCTGCATGCTCCACCTCCTCGGCCCCTTTCACGACCAAACGCTCTCCCTCCGTGAGAGCAAGGGATCAATGACTTTCACGGAAGTCCCGCCTCTGCGGTACCATGGCGCTACCATGCCCATGGCCCTACTATCCGTCTCCTAGCATCTGCATCCCTTTTCTTCACGATCAGTAGATACGTCTCCGTGGCACTCCTTTGAGTCCACCTCCATTCTGACTAATGCTTGATTTTGGGTAGCTAAGTCCCTCTGGACTCGTCGTCGCTTCCTCGCCCCTTTCGACCTCCTGCTTCAACACCTCTATGTTCTTCAAGCAGTCTGTTTGGTCGATGGAAAGATAGACTGCAACTCCCATGCATGGCCTCTACCATCACATTGTAGGGTTTGCACCGATTCTGTTCTCCTTAGCTTCCTTGGTAGCAACGTTCGCTTACTCGACCTTGTCCTCTGACTTGTCGGGCTCCCTTAAGCGAATATGAGCTCTGGAGCAA